TGCTGGCTGAGAACCAGGCTTTCCTTATTAGAGTTAGTGGTTAGGGGCTCGGGTCAAAGACTAAATTTAATTTTGTGTAAGGCTTAGGGTGAATGTTGTAGCTGAGCATCAGTGTGATGTGTAGGGCTCTTAGGGAGAGCATGAGGGTGAGATTAGGGCCTTGCACTCAGGTGAGTGCTGATTGGATCTGGTTGGCTTAGGAAAGTGGCATCAGGTTAGTCTGACCTCTCTTGTTCTTCCTCTTGTTCTTCCTCTTCCTCTTCTTCTTTCTCTTCCTCATCTTCTTTTCCTTCTTCTCTTTCTTCTCCTCCGCCTCCTCCTCCTCTCCCCCCATCATATGCAGTTGTTACAGGGTCGCACTAAGCAGCTTGGACTCCTAATGATTCTCCTATTTTCAGCCTCCCCAGTGCTGGGATTACAGATGTTGGCCAATAAGATTGGCCTCTGTGGCAGGCTCAACCCAACGTCAGGGCAGGGCTGGTGCCGCATGTGGTACCTGTTATGGAACTACTGTCCATGAGCGTGCCTAAACACGTGCTTAGTCTGCTGAGATACCTGCCTCACAGTCCCTGACTTGCCTTTTGTGTAAAGGTCTGAGTCAGGGGTTCCGTTGAGATAGGTCAGCAACCAAAGGCCTACTCAGGCAAGCAGGGGACAGAGGTTCCACACCCGCCAGCCCCAACCCTGGGGGACGGTGGTGTTGATCTGCCCACAGACTCCAGGCCTACTGGTGTAGGTATGGAATCCCAGTGCTGGGGATGCTGAAAACAGGGGGATCACCATGAGGCTGAATTGCATAGTGAGACTGTGTAAAAAAAATCATTACAAAACATGAAGGAGGTCATAGTAGGGTGACCTCCCTGCTATTCTATTTGAATATCTCACTGTTAATGTTTAGCAGAGATTTACTTAATGGTAGAGATTTACTTAGTGGCTCCATTGTATATTTTTAAATCATTAAACAAATTGTTAATAAAATTATATTGGAATCTGAAGAAATGTAGCATTCAGATTTGGGACAGTGTTAAGAAACTGAAGGTGTGGGTGACAGGGTTAGTTGGAGGGTTCAGGAGAGCTTTGGTGATAGGGTAAGAGTGAGTGTTGGGTTTAGGATCAGTACAAGGGTTGGAGTGATGTTTAGAGTGAGGGTTAGTGTTAGGATTAGTGTAAGGGTCAGGGTTACTGTTAGGGTGGGTGTGAGGGTTAGGGTTGATGTGAGACTTTAGGCTCAACAGCATCACAGTGTTGGGCTTCAATTGTTGTTAGTGACTAAAATTAAGAATAGTTTAGGATATTAAGGTTAAAGTTCACGTTAGTGTGGGTTTTAAGGTTAGAGTAGGTGTTAGGGTTAAGGTTACACTTGCGATACCTCTGGGATTTGGGTTGAAGTTGGAGATAGTACTAAGTGTTTGAGATAAGGATTAGATTTTCTTGTTAGGATCTGCAGACATGTTTAGGGCTTAGTTTTATGGTGAGTATAGCTGTGAGGTTGAGGGCCTAGGGTGAGCTTGAGCGTTTTGGGGAGGGTTATAGTTCGCATGCTATTAAGTGTGTAGTGAGGTTTCATGGTGAGGATTTGGGGTGCGATTCCAGGTTAATTTTATGGTTAGATTTCATGGCTAGCCTTTGTGTTTGAAATATGTTTAGAATTAATGTTATACATAGTGCTTTATTAGACATATTGTTGAGGGTTCATTTCAGGGTTGAGGTTTAACATGAAAGATGGATGGTTGGCTAATGTTCTTATTGTCACTAAGGGACAAGGTCAAAGATTAGGTTGAGGCTTCAGTTAAGTATTAGACTACTGGACAGTGAAAGGGTTCAAATCAGCATGTAGGAAATGCTAGGGATAGTAATGAGTTTGGCAATGTCCTTCCTTTATAACTTGAAACCCTTTGGAAAAAGTTTGACAGTAGATCTCATGCAAATTCCTGGTCACATCCTCATGTAGGGTCAGTTTTGTTGATTTTCATTGACATCTTTGTAATTTGCATCTTGTTCTATTACTGGGTTTCGACACTTCTTGCTTGGAGAACCTCAAACTGTATGACAATTTATTGGCATTGCTCTATTTATCCCGTGTGAGTATCCACAGTAATAAAATTCTCCCTTTCAATTATGTTCATTGTGTCCCATAGTGCGTCCATTTGCATTTCCTTATAGGATGTTTAAAGGTTTTTGGCATATTCTAGGATTTGTTGATCCTTCAAGATTTTGGTTTTTAGTCTTCAGATATTGGCATGATTTCTGTGGTTCATTTTGTTGGTAGTTTCTTGTTTACTTCTAGTATGATCCAGTAAGATGTAGGGAATTCGTTCAGCTCTATTATGTTATTTTCACCATGCTTGATGGTCCTACATGTGATGTTAACTCCAGAAACTTCCATGTGCTTCCGAGACAAATCTATTCTATTTCTGGATGAAGCATTCCGTTCATTTGTTTGATGTTCTCTGTCTGTGTTGGCATTTCCTGTGGATCTGTCTCTGTCTTGTGCTCTATACTCAGCCCTGAAATGAGTGGAGGTGGCCGTGTTCTGCTAAGACTTTTCAAATGCCTGCTGTATCCCATATTTCTCTCCACGGCCATTGTGTTGAGCTCTTATCTATAGGTTCTAAATTCTTAGGTCCTTCAGATGTAGGGTAGCAGTAACTGTGGTGTTTAGGAAAGGGGCTGTGAATATATTTTCCTTCACACTGCATGATGACCTGGGCAACATGCTGCACACCCTCCACTTCTCTCTCTAAGAGAAGGCTCTCAGGAATCTCTAGGGAGCACCTCGGTTAAAGGGCTTTGTTCTGAGAAACTCTACCTTTTGGCACTGGGATCACTTATGGGCCCAGACTGAGTGTGGCACCCTATAGCAGCAGGTTGTGGTGGGTCCTTTCTGAGCAGGTCCTTCAGGGCTTGCCCTGACACCAGTCCATTTGTGTGTGCACCTTCCTGGCCAGGTGAGCATGGAAGAAACAAACAAAACAGCATTGATTGTTTTTGGGAAGGGGAGCTGTGATGTCCTGGGGTCTGTTGCTCTGTGTTGGAGGGTCTGATTCTTCAGTCTTCATTATTTTATTTGTTTCTTGTGAACTTCTGGCAGTGGCTCCTTGAAAGTGATACTGTAAAGCCCTGGCTAGATCACTGAGAGAATCAGGGTAGGAGAAAATTTTTGTGTGTGGTAGCATCATTGAGTGTTTCCTGACAGGTGAGTGAGAGTGAGAGCCAGTGCAAAGTGGTGTGGAAGGGCAGCTGCTGCCTTGGTGGGAAGCACAAAGAGATCTTCGTCCATCAGAGCTGGTGCCTGGAGAAGCTGGGTCCTCCCAGTGGCCCCTACAACTCTTGCAAGAAAGTAACATGGGTCCCAGCTGCCAGGGATATTGTGGACTCAAGGTGGAGGGCGTACTTTCCACAGCCAGGCTCTGCCTGGGCCCATCCCTGTGCTGAGGCCCCAAGGCCCATGCAGAGGTCCTTAGTCCTGCCTGCTGGAGCCTCCCCTCTGCTGGCTCTGGGCCTGTGCTGGTGTCAGGAGCGTGTGGATGATCACAGCATTTCTCTGGGAGCTCTACTGAGTCTTATGTCTGTGCTAGAACTGCATTGTGCCCTTTTATCACAGCAGTTCAAATCAAGGTCCATTCCAATGAGCTACAGCCTGACATTTTGATTGAGTAGATTAACCCAGAGGGTGCTCAGTTGCTCAGCTCCCCAGGCTTCCCTTCAACTTGCTGTCCTCTGGCCCCAGCCTTCCCAGGCACTAGCATTATGAGTGTTTGACTCCACACCTAGCTTGTTTCTTGAGATATGTAGAAGCTTTATACTTGTTTCCTTTGTTTCTAAGTCTTGTCTGTGAAGAATGTTTGCTGATTTCCTTTATTCGTGATTGTGTTCAACTTTCAGAGACTGGAGGTGGTTTTACTTTAAAAACACTTTTTTTCTTAAAAAGCAGCATTTGGAAGCAGTGGAAGAAAGGTGTCCAAAGATGCTGTTAATCCAGGAGCTGAGGAAAAGGATTTTCCAATTCCTT